CAGTACTCAGGAAAAGTGTCAACTTTAGTTATTAAAACTAAGAACAGCAGTTAGAGGGGAAATTTTAAATTAAATTAATAAATTTGTGTAAAAAGCTGAATATATCATGTGAACAGGCCAAGCTAAAACATATGGGAAAGAATACTATTAACTATTTGACTTACATGCTTCCTGTAAAAACTGTACAGGAAATGGAGAGAATATTGAACAGTTGTTAATTTGCTGTTCTCACGGAATAAGCATAAACCTAATCCTGTCCCTCCAGGGAGCTTGAAAGCCCTACCTGACCAGGGTGCTTATTTCCTAAGGAAATCAAAGCAAACTGCACTCTGTTGTGATGTCTACTAGTACATGAGACATCAAAAGGACCACAATGAATCAGATTTTCATGGCTATAAGGGAATACAGAGGTCATAGAGTAGAATGCCTTTCTCCTTTCCAATATTTGGATTGGATTGGATTATGTTATATAAATATGTTCAGAGTTTAGTCACATTGAACTAATGGCCAGGCGATGACTAAGGTCACCCTTAACGGATTCAGTCCACTAAATTTAAAGTGCCCAAAATGACTATTTCCAAGAAGATAAACTTTAAATATTCAAATATTTAAAAGCTAGATTAACTATTTGTAAGTATAGTATCTTTTGTTGTTGATAAAAGAATGAAATAGAGCCTACCTAGAATCCTCATGCATATTTCCATGTTTTTTGAATATACACTTAGAGAAATCAGGTTAAAACAAACATAACATTAGCTTTTTTTTCCTACAGAGGATAAGAAATGGGATAAAAAGAGGTACAAGAGGACAAAGTTGCATCTTAATGGGCAAACAAACATTAGTATTATAAGCAAAGAAAATGTTAACATTAGTTAATTCTGACATGTGAGTACATGGGTATTTGCCTCACTCTGTCTTCTATTTGTTTGAAATATTTAATGATATTTATATTATTATGTATTAAATAATACTGTATTATATGTGTGTGACTGTGCATATTTATGTATTGTGTATTTTTGTCTCTGCGTGTGTTTCTGTGTATAAAATCTGGACTGATTCACACCAGATTGTTAACATAGGCCCATGATATCTTATCTAAAGTCTTTGGGGCCAGCTGGGTTTTGAAATTTGAATAGTTCAGAGTTGAGGCTGTTAATCTAATACATATGGGATGTATTACATGATTTCCTGAGGAAGTTTGGAGGCAGCACTGTAAATCAAACCCATCACTAAAAGAACTGCCTAAATACCTCACATAGTTCTGGTCAGGTTAAGTTTTGCCTCTAAATTCATTTTTCACATACTGCCTTCCAAATTTTAATTTTCTAAATTGTGGCTGATTATCCTGTAATGGGTTTCTTAATAGAAAACTAATGGAGATTTTCTTGTTTTTCTTTTTACTCACCTGTAGTCTCTAAAACAAACCTTTAATATAGCCAAGTAATAGGAATAAGAAGGAGCAGAGGCAGAGACAAAACTCTTACCTTCTTGGGGGTGAATTAAACATGGCTGAGGCTTAGCAAGAATCAAGACCATTCCCTCCCTTTGAAGGACATCACAATCAAGCTGAAGGTGATTAGTGATGAATGGGAGGCCCCAACTGGGTAGAGAGAATAGCCAACATGTGGTGCTGAGCCCCCGTGGAGGGGGATAAAGGGAGAAAGGAGAGTAGTTGGACAAGCTTGCTTTAGAAAACATCACAAATACCTTGCTATCCAATTATAAAATCCTATGAAATCACTAATGACTCTACAAACTACTTAACACTTGGAGTGCGGGTGAATTTCCCGCCAAAATATAAGATGGCTCTGTCTTTTGGTTTTGTTCCATCCACCAAAAGGGTGGATTACAAACAAATATTTGGTAATACGCAGTTACAATCGGCCCGAGTTTACACGTTTCCCGCACTCCACCGCAAATCTATATGAACCGAGTTAAAGACGGCTCCCGCGGAGTACGCGCAATTCACGCGAGCCGACTTAACTCGTTTCCCGCACTCCAAGTGTTTTAATATTCCCCAGATAATAAAGAGTAGTCTCAATTTGTACTGCAAAGCAGAGCAAAACAAAAGCCAAAATCCTAAAGAAATATTAAAGAGAAAAAACACTACACAATGCTGACACTCCTCAATGATAATGACAGGTTAATGAGTGCCTCCAGGCTTAGAAAGGAATGGCTTTGGTCTCAACTCATAATATTTCTCAAATAACTAGTACTAACAGGACATTCTGGTTTTTGTTTTGTTTTGTTTATTATTATGTTATTAAGAGTTTTAGAGCAATTTTAGGTTCACTGCAGAACTGAGGGGAAGGTACAGAGTTTCCATATGCCTCCTGCCCCCACCCAGGCACAGTCTCCCCCATTATCAACATCCCCCACCAGAGTGGGCACTTGTTACAATTGATAAACTTACATTTACATATCATAATCACACAAAGTCCATAGTTTACTTTATGGTTCCATGCGTTTGAACCAAAGTATGTAAGACATGTATCTATCATTATATTGTCAAAATGTTTTCTCTGCTCTAAAAACCCTCTTGTCTTTCCCTGCCTCCCCCAACCCCTGGCAACCACTGATTTTTTTATTGTCTTCAGAGTTTTTCCTTTTCCAGATTGTAATATAGTTGGAATCACAGTTTACAGCCTTTTCACATTGGCTTCTTTTGCTTAGCAATACTCATTTTAGAGTTCCTCCATGTCTTTCCATGGTTCATTTGTATTTAACACTGAATAGTATTTCATTATCTGGATGTACCACAGTTTATTTATCCATTCCATTCACTTACTCAAGGACTTCTTGGTTGCTTCCATCTTTTGACAATTATGAATAAAGCTGCTATAAAAATTCATGTGAAGATATTTTTGCGTAGAAAAGGACATTCTGTTTTCTTCCCAATAATGTCAATGAACAATAGACTCTAAATGATCTTAATGATTTCATTCTAACTAAAAGTAGACCTAATTTTAAAATTTTATATAGAATATCAATAAATGAGGCAAGATTTCATATTGTTCTGATTTTATTTGTCCTGTCACATGTAATAGACATTGACATGAAAATGATTCCATGACTGGCCTTTATAAAATGTTTTCAATTAAAAGTTAATAGATTCATAGTGTTTTTGTCCATTAGATTTGGGAGTGGAATCATATAAATAATCACTGAGAACCGCGTGAAAAAGCCTCTAATCACTGAGCCTAGATTTCTGGTCAATAGGACAGTCCTCTAAATAACAGAATACGTAACATTTACAGAATGTCTATTATTCCCAGACAATGTCCAGGTAATACCCACAGCAACAATAATAGCTAACTGTCTCTGTTTACTCTACGCGGGGATGTCTTCCACGTGCGTTACATGTACAAATCATACATCATTTAATCTCCACAGTAACTCTGATGTATAATACTAACAGCAATCCATTCTATTCCCTGTTCCTCCTGCTTCCATGGGCAGGGACCTCCCTGAAGCAGCACTGCTGTTACTGACCCTCACCCTTTCCCCTGGGAGGAGGAAGATTTAACCCACCGGTGATGTTAAAAGAATAAGCTGGGTGTTCTCAACTCATCCTCTTTGTCTCTCATTCAACCCTCCTTTTGTGAGCCAACCCGTCTTCAGGAGGCAGGCTCTCTGATATTATCCCTGGATAATGATAAAAGGTGTCCCCCAATGTGTGAGTCTAGTCCTTCTCTAGCAGAGTTGGTTGTTCTCTGAGTGAATCTATTTATTCTGAGGTGAAATATTACTTTAAATATATGGCTGCAGAATCTAAAGCCATCTTCTCTAAAATATTTTGCTATTTGTTTGACTTTTTATATTTCTCTCGATTCAAAACGAGGACCAAATGAGGTGTGCTATATATCAGAGGCCCCTAACACCCTAACAATAACCTTCTCACATACCCCCCCCACACACACACACACTTACGGAGGAAGAAACAGAAAGGCAGAGGGATTAAGCAACATCCCTATGATTCTACACCTGGATTTGAACCCCAGGCTCCAGAGCCTATGTTCACAGCCACTACTGTTTGTGGAAACTTTTTCTCTATTATTCAGAATCCCCTATAGTGTTGTTTTGAATTCCACTGGGATTTCACTGACTGGGAAATTTGAAGCTCTAAGACAGCGATGGCGAACCTTTTGAGCTCAGCGTGTCAGCATTTTGAAAAACCCTAACTTAACTCTGGTGCCATGTCACATATAGAAATTCTTTGATATTTGCAACCATAGTAAAACAAAGACATATTTTTGATATTTATTTTATATACTTAAATGCCATTTAACAAAGAAAAATCAACCAAAAAAATGAGTTTGCGTGTCACTTCTGACACGCGTGTCATAGGTACGCCATCACTGCTCTAAGATCTAACATGCATAGTCACTTAGGACACAATGAACTGAGCAGAGATGAGAACTCAGACCACCTGACTCTGAAGGCAGTGCATTTCCCACTACAGTCTACTTAGTTACTAAATCTAGTTTCAAAAATAACTCATTTCAAACATCATCCAGAAGGGAGCCATGTTCAGGGGGTGAAAGTTGGGGCACTCATTTGATAAGCTGCAGTTGCCTTCTTTTATTATTAACCAAGAAAATGACACCAAAGATTGATAAAAATCTCCAATATTAATGGATAACAGAAATAGAGCAACAGGATTAAATGTGACTGTAGCTCAAGTAAGGTTTTTTCACTATCTCAAATAATCCACCATCCACACTTAAAACACACATACACACACACACACACACACACACACACGACATTTTCCTCATAAGTTACTCTAATCTCAGCCATTTTATTAAATTCTTAACTCCACTTTTGCTATGCTTCCACAGATAACTCTTGAGCACTTAGTCAAAATAACCTCTCTATTCATTCCTGATTGTGAACGTGCTTGCTTTATTGATGTCGAAGGGATATATATACTAATGGTTGAGAAGATTAACATTAAATAGGAATCTTCTGCTGAGTTTTATTAATTTGTATGTGCTTACCTGAAAGGGCAAACTAGATTCTCCAGTCTTTGCATAGAGATTGATTTTTGCTTGTCTCCACTGAAATTTGGAGGTTCCAATTAGATCACCCTGCTTTTGCAAATTTCCATCCAGTGATGTTCTTGTAAAAACCGAGAGATGTGAATGCTGAGACAAATGATACCAAAACTGCACCTGTTGAAAAATATTGTTGAATATTCCATTTAACTGTCTCAAGTAGCTTTTCCATAATTAAAAATATCCCAAACTACTTTGGTGTTAAATATAATCTTCTCAATTCTCCTTTCCTCCAAGTGTGTAAGACCAGAACATGGAAACTACTCATTCGCCATACTTTGTATTCTCTCCTTAAGAAAAGGTGCAATGCCCTGGCCAGTGTATCTCCATGGTTAGAGCATCACCTGCACACTGAAGGGTCATGGGTTCAATTTCCAGTCAAGGGCACATACCTGGGTTGCAGGTTCCATCCCTGGGCCTTGGTCAGGGCATGTGCAGGAGGCAACCAATTGATGTGTCTCCACATCGATGTCTCTCTGTCTCCCTCTATCTTTTTCTCTCTCTCCCTCAAAATCAATGGCAAAATATCTTCGGTAAAAATTAACAAAACAAAAAAATAAATAAAAAAGGAAAGGCTCAAGGTGGCTGTACCAACTGCATATGTAACACATGTCATGGAGACGTCTAAAGAAATGGAGCACCAGCATACCACCAGAACAAGTCTGAGGACACACATTTGTTCACGGCGACATGGAAGTTTCCCAGGAGCCCTCCCTATTGTTTCTTATAAATTTTGGGAGATACACTTTCTGTCTCAGTTATAAAACCAGGTATTACTTTTCATTCTCCTTGAGAAACTATAATTAACACTTCTCATTAACCCCTTCTCTGTTGTAACGTTATCAAAGAATTGGGGAGCTCATATGATACTACTCATTAACAATTTAATCCAAGTGAGATATTGTTCTTTTTGAAACTAGGGAGCCTTGGTCATTTTGCTTCTACTTGTCATCAAAGATGACATAATCTAATAAAAGTTTGACAGGTAAACCATGTAATGAAGAAAATATATAGAGAGGATTACTTTAGGTGTTATCAGTACCTATAACATAGACTCCATCATTGTTATTTATTCAACCAATATTTACTGACCATTTAATAAGTACTGGGCACTGTGAAAGGCAAAAATAAATTTCCTCAATGGTTGGATAATTCACTCTATCAAATATGGTAACTACACCTCCTTAACAACAGGTTCAGACACACAGCAGTCTCTTTTTTTCTTATTATGACATAGAATCTCAAGGCTGCTTTTTTCAAGGGAAAACATAACATTCAGAGATGAGGTCCCACAGAAACAGAATCCTTCTGTTTGAACTCAAAGTGATTCCTTTTTAATTTGACTATACTTTAAATTCTTGCTTTCTTCCCTTTGTCATTCTGCTTTTATTTTGTTATATGAGCAGATATTAGTGCATATATATAGTAATTTACCCATTTATTTCACTGTTGGTACCAATTTAAGTGGAGATGAAAGATTGCAAAATTTCATTAAATTCTCTTTTTAAAAATTGTTCATTATAAAATATCAAGCATTTTCTGTTCTAATGTGGTACATATTTTTTCCACCATATACTTAATTGACACCACCTGATCAAATAAAGTCTTTCTGGCTGTCCATTTCATTTTAGATTTTACTGCCAGGATCATGTAAACTCAGACTTTGACAGGTAAGCAGAAGTGTAAAGTCAAATGGAAGTGTTTAATTAAATTCTATGGAAACGGAGGATTTATGTTCCTCAATTACAATTAAATTTTAGATCCCTGCTGTAATTTCAGCATGTTGCACGGTTGTAAATATGCAAAACAGAGCTTTAAAACCTAGTTATAAAAGAGATATGCATGCCCCATCAGAATTCCAAGCTGTCAAACTGTCAGTACATCACCAGTGTGAAGTTATTTTAATAATATATTACAAGTAAGAACCAATGGGATCCACATTCAATAGAATAATGGATTAGAACTTATATTAAATTTACTATTTTAACATAATTGACATTGTAGAAACTTAAGGAGAATTCTTGAATTTATTATAGACCAAGAAACTTTCTATAGTCTTTTCACTTTTAATATCGGTAAGGGTGAAAGCATGGAAAAAAATTATTAATACAGCTGTGGTTTGAAACAGGCACTCATCAAGTGTGCAAGGTCTGTGGCTCTTGATCTGATATATACACCAGGTGTAGAACACCAAGACATGAACTCAAAACGATGATGCATGTTGTGAATTCCTCACAGAACCTATTACAGTAATTTGTATTCAGTAGGTATTCAGTTAATAAATATTGAAAAAAGAGGAAGGAATGAGTGGATTGTTAGCATCAGTACTTAAGTAAATATGTATAAACTCTGGAAGGGAGGGGGGGGGAGAGAGAGAGAGAGAGAGAGAGAGAGAGAGAGAGAGAGAGAGAAAGAGAAAGAAGAAGAAGAAGAAGAAGAAGAAGAAGAAGAAGAAGAAGAAGAAGAAGTAGTAGTAGTAGTAGTAGCTGCTCTGTGTCAGAAAATGTACAGATATTAGGTGTCCTTACAGATCTCAGAGTTTTATAGAGGAGAGTGAAAAGAAAAGGAATGAATAAGTATAATGCACATAATGATCAAGGTACAAAAATAGTGTGGCTACTTACATGTAAGTTAATTAGCATTAAACAAAATTTAAAAATCCTTTTCTTAGTTATTATACTCATCATAGTTTATTTGTTCAGCAGCTGTATGTAGCTACCACACTGGACGTAACAAAGGAAAATTTCCATCATCATGGAAAGTTCTACTACATAGAGCTGCAAAGCATGTACAATTACACCAATCATTTAAAATTTATTTACTGCTTGTCATTGTTAAAGGAAATTATTTTCTTGATTCATGCCTGTTTCAGTAAAAAGCAGTTAAATACAATGTCAATGTTAACATTTAAAGCTTGGTTTTATGTCTCTTGGGTTTTCACTAAGGCACGTCTTATATATAGTGTGTGACTGATCACTGTATTCAAGAGAATTTCATGTGCTAAAAAGCTTGCAAAACAGCAGTTCCTTTCATTGCAAATTAGAGAGAAAAATAATGCTTAAATTATTTTATTGTATTTACTTGTATTCTGTGATTTCATATTATTTATATGTTTAAAAATATCAAATCTTCCATTTTACTATAAAATGAAAGGACATCTTAGGGGACTTCTCTGCTAGTGACTGAGTGCAGGTGGGTGACCAGGCTGGAGAGTGGACAATCTCAGGGAGCCGCTTGCTCTTTGGTTTGAAGGCGCCCTGAGATGTTCCCTGGAGGAGTGGCCAGTTCTGCACAGGACTAACGAGGCTCTCTGGTACTTAATTCTCTGAAAGCTGTAACAGGGCATTATTTAAAAGTCCAAAATGATTTCTTCCTTATTTCTGGTTTTCTGTTTCACTTGCCTTTGGTCTGTTTCCAACTGAAACTCTATCCTTCATATTTTCTGCTTCTTTCCTCAACATTGCAATGGTCTCTGTTCCTATTGCTTCCCTGTCTCAGAGCTGCTTGTCCTCTCTTCTCGCCCTTTCTCAGTTGTATTCCAACAGTCAGCTGCCTCTGCCATCTCTGCTTTAAATCAAATCGGGCCCTGTCTGGTATTGCTACACTTTCTATATCTTCAAGACCTAGAATAATAAAAATTGCAAGAAAAAAAGTTTTTTAAAAAAGGAAAGGAAACAAGTTATCTCCTCAAAATTCAGCTGGCAATAAGTCCGTATTGAAAAGGAAGATTATTTATTACACACATACACAAATAAATAAAAAAAACAACTAACTGTTACTACAGTGATTTTTATGACTCCTAGTTATAAGTATGTTTTGCACGTGTAGTCCTTACCTGAACAAGGTTAAGTGGAAGCTAGGAATCCTCAGTAAATTGTAACCTGTTTTTCTCATTAACCAATTAACCTCCATGCGTTTGATCATATACACGTGGAGAGCACCTGCTCAATGCCTCCCCCATAGCTGTTACTTCCCCTAGAATGCATCACATATTCTAACATCTATCCTTGGATTTAAAGAAAGTCAGGGAACAAAGTGTGATTGCGCCATTCCAAGTCCCACTTCATAATTACTTTTTTCCTTAATTTGTCTTTGATGTGAGTTCATCACTCTACTTGAGGAACATTATAAGACATGGCCTTTCAAAACTTACTGAGAGAGTTGTTATAAGTGGGTTATTATTATTATACTGTGTTCACCCTCTCGTGGCACTTAACCCTGAATTGCTGTCTGTATCCCTCACTAAACTCCACCTTTATAGCCAGCATGTGCTCAGGTTGTCCCTGCTTTTTCCCAGCTTGAGGACTGTGATCAGCGCAGGGTAGGTAAGTGAGCACTAAGTGTGTATTGAATCAGATAAAACATGTTTACATTGGTGTTGCTGGGAGCATTCAGGGGAGAAGTCTCTGAACTATTTTTGTTTTGTGTTTTGCTTTTTACATTCCGCATTCTGAACCCATGATGACTGGTGTGTCTTCTCTGCACGGGCTGCTGAAACACTTAGATGCGAATGTGAAGCCCGGCCCGGAATCACTTTGTTTTGGAACCATCCCACTTCTTGCTTCATCTATCCTTGCCCTCTTTATTCATATTTTCACTTATGAATTTTTTAAAAACATACCAAATATATATGAAGCAGAAATTTTGTATTATGTCTTCCTGTATCTGATTGTGAAATTCTAAAACTGAGATATTTTGTCTTTTGTACAGTAACTCAAATAGGAGAACTCAAAAAATATTAATCCATATAAATCCCCTTCGTATTTGATATTTCCTAGTTAATTGGAAACAGTAACAGCATCTCAGTACCAATAAGAAATAGTGGCTTCTGGATCCCACATGTTCTGCTTGTCCTATCTCCTGGCTATTAAAGAGAAAAGTGCCAAGTTTCCACCAGTGACTGAAGGAAGGTTTGAAGCTTTTAAATTAAAATCCATATCTTGAACAAGAATAAACTCAGAACAACTGTGCATGTTGATACCATCTGTTGGCCATATATAATGTATAAGGTAATAATTCATAATAACCTTAAAAGTCTGCTGTTAGAAAAGAAAGCTTTGTGTTCTTTTAAAGTTCTTTAAAAAAAAACATGTTCTTCACTGCATTAGCCTGATATGATTATGTAAGAAAAAAGATCATATAATGTTATAAAATGAAGGCTTTGATCATACAAAGTGCCCAGTTATCTCACTGCCTCACTTTATCATTTTATAATGAAGAACATTTGCTATTCCATGAATACAATGCATAATATGGAATATATAATCAGTATGTTCAAATTAGAAAGATAAGCCGGGTTTTCTGATTACTAAAGAAGATAAGAATTTGGTTTGTTCCCTTGCTCTGTAACTTTTATGGAATAATCTAACATTGCCACAGACTTATAAAAAAGTAATTTTATATTCTTAAAATACTCCTTTTTGAGATAACACTAGCTATGTGCATCTCAGACTATAAATAACATTCTCTAACAGTCTAATACTATATCCTAAACTGGAACATACTATAAAGTAATCCAAATATTCCTCCTTCTACCTCAAGATTACTAAGATTAAAGCAGATGCAGAAAAAATGGGAAAAACAAACACCTCTCTAACAGTCTGTAACGTTGTTGAAGCACCCTCACTTTTCCAAAAGTGAAGGCAAATGATTGAATCAGTCTCTGAGGCCTTGGGAGGTGGAGGACTTGGTTCTGAGAGACAAACTATCAGGCATCTAAACTGTCCACTGCTTTCCCTGAGTCCTCACCTAAATAACTTCCCACAGCTAAGCTTCAAATGTAAGTAACCATAGAGAAAAATGTCCTCAAGTGGAAATAATCATAAATTGAAACACAATCCCAGTGACCAAAATGAATGGCTACCAGAGTACAACAATGGAAAAGGTAGATTATTTTTTTAAAAAAAATGAAAAACAAAATATGATTTCTCAGTGAGTCTCAGATTCCTAATAAGCTTTTAAGGTTTGTGTTCAAATTTTTGTAAAAGAGGTAGAATTAATACATTTTATCCCTTTGTATCCAATGTCTCTAATGTATTTAACAATAGGGATTGCATTACTTGAAGGCACAAAATCTCCAGGAATTCTCAAACAAAATAGCAAAACAAACAGAGAAACAACTGTATTTATTACAAAGGATTTAATTAAAATAAAGCAAAGATGAGTGTAGAGTGCAGCTGAGTGAAGTGGAAATCAAGTCCAGGTAGTTGTTTTAATCCTAATTCCCACAGAGAAATAAACAGAAAAGAAGGAGGAGGAAACAAGAAAAAAGAAAGAAGGATGAACACCTTTAAGAGTTCAGTGGACCCTCTCAGACTTCTATCAAGCTGAAAACATAATATATTTATATCTCTATATCATATGTAATTTATTTATTAGAAATGTGCTATAAACTGTATTTATAAGTGATGAATTTAGTGTGTGGCAGTATTATATCTTCATTATTCTTTGATAACTAAAGAAAAAAAATAAGCTGAAATCCTAAGGGCTTAGAGAGATGTCAGAAATCTCAAAAGGAATGAAAACAAGACAAGCTGAAAAGAAACATCTAATTTAGTTTTTAGTTTTATAGAAAGGGGAAAAAATTATGTTTAGTGAATGCCTGTTTTGTGCCAAATACTTTGCTAGGTGATTAATCACATTTTAATATTTACAACCATGTGAAGAGGTATGCTAATACGAAGGTTTCCAGTGTAGACACTGAATCTCAACTAGAGCGTTTAATCTGTGGAAGAACTAAGATTCAACAAACTTCCAGAAACTGACCAGAGTGGCTCAGTTAGCTGAGCGTTGTCCCATGCACCAAAAAGTTGCTGGTTTGATTCCCAGTCAGGACACACACCTGCATTATGGGTTTGATCCCTGGTCAGGCATGTATGGAGGACAACCAATCACTGTTTCTCTCTCTCTCTCTCTCTCTCTCTCTCTCTCTCTCTCTCTCTCTCTCATTCTCTTTCTTGCTCTCTCTCCCTTTCTCTCTCTAAGCATGTCCTCATGTGAGGATTAAAATAATGTGGCAGAACTGATATTTGTACCAAATCTATCTGATCCAAACCTCAGCTTTTTTCTTTATTGTGCTTTTGAAATGAATTGAGTATTCTAATGCCTTGGTCAGTGTTGCTCTGGTTCCAGGAGGACTAATTAAAAGAATAAAATTTCAGAAAACATAATTATTTTTCTGCATATATTCATCCTTTCATCTTTCTTTCAACAAGCATTTTTAACTAAATTTATTTTACTCAATTAACATTATTGGTAAAAAGTAAAAAGCAGTTTTAACACATGCATCCACAGCTTTTACATTAATGAAAGAATTGTGTAAAATAATATAAAATGATAGAAATATTCCTTAGTACCCTCCCCTAAAAAAGAATGGCATGAGTTATGCTGCAAATGGTCTTTTGGAAGGACATGGCATTTCATGCTGAAATAACTCATATAAATCTCTCAATGCATCATGAAAACAGTGGTAAAACATAGCAGACATTTACTAGCAAGAGCAGCACAAGCCTAACACTTTACAACCACAGAATGGCCCATGGAAATTCCAATAGTAAATTACCTGACATGGGTTAGAGGCAGTAAGTGATTTTGTAAGAACAGGACTTCCAAGTTTGGCCACTCCAGGCAATTGATGTGCCCGCAAATAAATAAACAATCCTGCAAAAACAAATATAAAGTCATATAGATGCAGGTTCTACTGTTGTACATGTAGCAGTCCCTTGCCCTAGTATCTTATCCTTATACACATTCAACTGCCAATTAAATAAAGAATGTTACATTTTTACTTATTTACCATTAAGCTCTATAGACAACTAAAAGCACTTTCAGATGAATAACATTAAACACCTAAAATAAAATACAATTGATTAAAAACAAGCTCTTGAACTAATCCTATAAACAAATATCTTACTGGCTTAACTCACATCATAAGAGTTTGAAATCAAATTAAATGAAGCCTCTAACTTTACAATTAGATACTCAATATGCCCTTAAGAAATTCCGATGAGAGCTTTATTTTTAAGATTTTTCACAAAGTACTGAAGGATACGAGTCTATGGGATGAGTTTGGTTCCTCCTGGGGCTTACATGTTTGACATTGTGGTCTGTGCTAGTGGGGATGAAAGCTTAATTAAAGATCTAATCTGAACGTTAACAAAATAACTGCTTATAGATTTTAACTACAGTGGATGTGCTCATGGCAAATGTATGGGGGATAACATCGCTGAGCTGCTCAAAAGCTCACACATCTGAACTGCTGTGGTGGTGGAGTTGTCATTGAATATTGAAAATTTACAAGAAAGGCTATTCCAAACAATGTCAAGGTCTGATCCTGCCCTTTGATAAGCAGGAAGTGATGGGCAACTTGGAAAGCCAACCATTTTTACTGGAAAATATCACATTCACAAGGTGATTTTTCTAGATACAAGTCAATGCTGACTACACAGAAATACAAGGATTTCAGTATTTAAATGTATTATTTTATAGATACCTCCATATGTTTAACAAAATACCCAAAGTTGCAAGTTAGCAGTATTGAGTGAAGAAAATAGAACCCAGTTTATATGGTTTTTAAATCTTGAAACTAACTGGGAAGGATGAGGACTACTCTTCCCAAATTCCAGCCTAAGACTAATGGAAACAGTGTATGTATAAGCTTATTTTATTCTCTACGTTTCACCTATAAAGAAATAGAGTAGGAAAAGATAATTTTAAAAAATTATTCCACATTTAAAATCCTCAGTTTCAGGTAAAACTCCAGTGAATATTTTCAAAAGTCTAAACAAAATACTAAAAATTAAAAAAAATTCAGACATTTAAAACAATTTGTACAATTTCAAACAAACACTTAATAAAGAACGGGATAGCCCTAACCGGTTTGGCTCAGTGGATAGAGTGTTGGCCTGCGGACTGAAGGGTCCCAGGTTCGATTCTGGTCAAGGGCATGTACCTTGGTTGCGGGCACATACCCAGTGGGAAGCGTGCAGGAGGCAGCTGATCGATGTTTCTCTCATCGATATTTCTAACTCTCTATCCCTCTCCCTCTCTGTAAAAAATCAATAAAATGTATTTAAAAAAATAAAAATAAAAAAGAATGGGATATAAAAACACAAAAATTCCAAAACCTAAAAGACAAAAAGGGATTGAATAAATTGGTTACACCACAAAATAACTGGAAGTGTGATAAAAAAAAAATGTCTACTAGAAATGTACAACCCCATGACTAAGTTTTATTTAATTTTTAAAGAACAGATATTTGCAAAATTATTCAAGGGATCTTAGGTCTTAGAAAACTAAGGAGAGCCCCCTGACTCACTTTATGATGCATGCAGATATCTTTAAGAATGGAAGAAAATAGAAGAAGTAAAAAAAATAAATAAACTATAGCCCAACTCGTGTGGTTCAGTGGTTGAGCATCAACCTATGAACTAGAGCCAGTGGTTCTCAAACTGTGGGCGCAACTCCTTTGGCGGTCGAACGACCCTTTCACAGGGGTCGCCTAAGACCATCCTGCATATCAGATATTTACATTACGATTCATAACAGTAGCAACATTACAATTATGAAGTAGTAACGAAAATAATATTTAAAGGGCCAGAAGGTTGAGAACCACTGATAGACGGTCACGGTTCAATTCCCGGTCAAGGCACATGCCCGGGTTGCGGACTAGATCCCCAGTGTGGGCTTGCAGGAGGCAGCCAACAATGATTCTATGTTATCATTGATGTTTCTGTCTCTCTCTCCCTCTCCCTTCTTCTCTGAAATCAATAAAAATATATTTAAAAAAGAAAACGCTATCAAGCAACATCACCCATGATCAGAGATATAAAGTCTAATAAAAATGTTATCGATTACATTTGAAATCCTTATTAAACACTTATATGTCCCTGACCAGGTGGCTCAGTTCATTGGAACATCTTCCCATGCACCAAAATATTGTGGGTTCAATCCCCAGTCAGGGCACATATGGGAGGCAACCAATTGAAGTTTCTCTCACTCTCCTTTCTTCTCTCTCTAAAATTAATAAACATATCCTCAGATGAGAATAAAACAATAATATAATGATGATTGTTATTATTATAAATTATTATTATTTCCTTATCAATCAGAGCTTTCTAAGAATGAAGATTTTGTTTAATTTAGCAGCTCTATCAACATAGTCAGCTAGACCAACAAATTAAAAAGTAAAATCATAGATTTATTTCAACAAATATTGAAAACACTGTGATAAACCAGCCATTCCAAATAATATAACTTAATGAAATATTAAAGTAAAACAATTAAATAAAGACTAATAATCAAACCCAATTTAAACAATATCCTAAATGGCAAAACACAGAACTAGTTTAATTAAAATGAGAAAATAAATAGAGATTTATGTTAGAGATCGTATTAGATAATATTATCTTAAACTAATATTATCTCATAGACTAGTAAGTGTAGAAATCAAGGAAATAGTATATTTAGTAAATATAACAGAAAAGTAGAAAATAGAGTTCTAATGTTTTGCCAATAATATAATTGTAAAAGTAGAAGCTCCCGGAATTCTATTTTTTAAATAATGACAAGTATTAATAAAAGAATTTGGTAAGGTAAGTGAAAACAAATATTTTAAGTTATTTTTATTAACTATAGCAATAAGGTATAGATATAGAAATGATAATACATATTGTTTTCACAATAACATTAACACAAAATACATAGAAATAAATTTAATAAGAAAGGGACCAACATAAGAACATTATAAAACCTTGAAAGAGACTATAAATCCTCTGATAAATAGAAAGAGATAACATATTTTTAGATGGAAAGATGGCAATATAAAAATATTGTTAGTGAAATTTCATTTGGAAGCTAAATGCAATACTAAAAAATTTAATCAAATATTTTAAAAATAAATAATATTATATTAAAATTTATATGTGAAGATAAAGGGTGAAAGGAATATAAACTCTGAACTCAGACCCAGGGGCTTCAACATTTTTCAAGAAGTCCTAGCCAGTTCAATGAAATACACACACACAAACACACACACACAAGACTTAAGATTTAGAAAGCAGAAAATAAAATTGTCATTATTTACAGACACAATAATTGTGAACCAATAAAATAAAAAATACTATTTGCTATAATAAATAAAATTAACAAGGTCATTGGATATAAGGTCAATATTTAAAATTGCATTTCTATAATACTAGCAATGGTGAAATAAAAATATAAAAAACCAACACAAACATTAGCAAAATATTTTTGTTGTTTTTTGCTGTTTTTTGTTTGTTTGCAAAATATTTTTAAAACTTATACATTGAAAGCTACAAATATTATTTAGAGAAACTAAAGAAGATAAATAAATTGAGAAGTTGAAAATATTTGAAAAGATAATTTTTCTAAGAAATACAAATAAAGGTTTCATATAAAAAATCAGCATATGAGTGGATTGAAAAACTGTGGTACATCTACACAATGGAATACTATGCTGCTGTAAAAACAAAAGAACTCTTACCATTCGCAACAGCATGGATGGACCTGGAGAGCATTATGCTAAGTGAAATAAGCCAGTCAGAGAAAGATAAATATCACATGATCTCACTCATTTGTGGAATATAATCAACAACATAAGCTGATGAACAAAAATAGATCCAGAGACAGAGAAGCATTGAACAGACCGTCAAACCTCAGAGGGAAGGAAGGGAAGGGTTGGGGGGGTGGGGTAAGAGATCAACCAAAGGATTTGTATGCATGCATTTAAGCATAACCAATGGACACAGACAGCAGGGGGGTGAGGGCATGTGCTAGGGGGTGGGAGCCACTGGGGAGAGGTCAATGGGGTCAATTTAAACAATAAAGAATTTAAATTAAAAAAATACAAAACAAAATAAAAAAACCTTATACATTGAAAGCTATAAAGTATTATTTAGAGAAACTAAAGAAGATATAAATTGAGAAGTTGTAAATATTTGAAAAGATCATTTTTCTAAGAAATACAAATAAAGGTTTCATATAAAAACCATTTACACCCATAAGAAATCATTTTACACTCAGAAACAGGAAAATTTTAAGAGAACAAAATGCCTATTTATGGTAGGTAAATGGAAATATTCACTCCTATATTGCTAGTGAATATTTAAGTATTAAAATCTGTAGGGGAAGTAACCTATCAATTTTAATAAAAATATAAATACATATATTTTAGTGGAAATATAGAAGTCTCAATCCCAGATAACTAATACTTTAAAAACATCCTATGTAAGATAACATGTACAAGAATGAATTTTAAAAGCATTGTTATAATACCATCAATCAAAGGGGGAATGGCATAGCCAGTTCAAAGAAATGAAAAAACAAACAAAATGAATTAGGCATCTTCTACTTCCAGATTTAGTCTCTATCCTAAGCTAGCAAAATAAAAAAATATATATATTAAACAACAGTTTTCAAATGTAGGACAATGGAAATGCATGATCACTAGAGAATGATCTCTTAATGTGGGGTAACACATGAGCTAAGCCATATAATCATCCCAGCTTACCATCCAGACAGTATCCACTGCCATGTAGGAAGCAGGGAACCAGGAGGGGTAAAGTGGCCTCTTCAAGTTGAAAAGATGGAGTTGGTATTTTGGGGACACTTAAGTGGCTAGAGTTTATAAGGCAGAGTGCCAAGAAGGAGATGGTTACAGAGAGAACTCCATAGATCTGCAGAAAGGTCCCCACTACGCCCTGCCAAATCCCAGGTGAGAACTAACCAAAGCGTGAATGTGAGGAAACCACTTGAGGCTAGGGGGGACATGTGAAAGGGGCAGCTGCAGCATGTCCCAAAGCTCACAAATGGCCAGAAATGATAGGTTTTTCTCACCAACCAGAGAGAAAACATTAATTCTACATTGGCATTGGACAGAGCTCTCAAGTCAAATAAAAACTTACGTTCAGACAAAAAAACTAAATGCAAATTTTATAATATACTAGAGGCCCGTGCACGAAATTCATACACTGTGGGGGGGGGGGGGTTGTCCCTCAGCCCAGCCTGTGCCCTCTTGCAGTCCAGGATCCCTTACTCCTTACCGCCTGCCTGCTCACTCCTTACGGCTCAGCTCACTGCTCCTTCTTGGCGCTGCTGTGGAGGCTCCTGCCAGCTGTGAGCCCAGCTTCTGGCTGAGCGGCCGCTCCCCCTGTGGGAGTGCACTGACCACCAGGGGCAGCTCCCGCATTGAGCGTCTGCCCCCTGGTGGTCAGTGCGCATCATAGTGACCAGTCGTCCCATCGTTCGGTCTATTTGCATGTTAGCCTTTTATTATATAGGATTCATAATCAGCAAACATTTGGAAACAACTCAAATGTCCCTTAACTGGTGAGTTTAACAGCAAGTGGTGGTTGATCCATACAATGAGAGACTACTCAGCAGTAAAAAAGAAAGGAACTACCACTGCAATCAACAACATGGATGAATCTTAAATCCATTATGCTTGGATTGAAAGAAGCCAGACTCAAAGAGTTACACACTGTATGAATCCATTTACATTTGATGAAGGCACAGAAATCACATCAGACTACAAAGTGGCATAGCAGAATTTTGGAGGGGGTAACATAACTTTTATATCTTCTGATGGTTACACAATTATATATGCTTATTCAGACTCAGTGAACTATTCACCACAAAGGTTGAATTTTACTGCATTTAAATTATACTTTAACATGAGATGATGACTTAGAGGATTTGCCAGGAGCTATCTATTATGAAGAAAACAATATAAGAACAGTAGTTACAATATGATCTCAGTTTTGGTAAAATAATCACAAAAATACTTATATATATATCTACCATGCATACAGGCTGTTTGGATGTTTAACAGAGAAGCTAGGAATGAAAAAGTAGAAGCCAACCAAAAAAGGAGGATATGGAAATCAAGGCTTTACTCAAAAAAGATAAGCTACATCATGTCAACCCAGTCATCTTTTATGTAAAATTACATATGGGAGTGTATGAAGAAAATTACTGGATATTAAAGTTTTTTAAAAGCTGTGATCCATAAACACAAAGCTGAGAACATAATGCACTGGAAGTCAGTGGTCTTAGATATGGAAACTGTAAGACTGACTCTGCTGCATTTCCCAGGAAACTTCCATTCCATTCTCCTTTCCCTTCCAGTTCTGCTTTGTTTTCCTCCTCATTGTGATTGAAGACTATAGTGATTACCTGAAGGTTAGATAACACAATCTTAGGTGTAGTGTTGGCTCAGTGACTGAGATATTTTTTTGATTTGTCCTTTCTAAAAAGAGAAAGACTGGCCCTAGCCAGTTTGGCTCAGAGGATGAAGCGTCGGCCTGCATACCGAAGGGTCCCCGGTTCCATTTCGGTCAAGGGCATGTATCTCTGTTGCAGGCTCCTCCTGGCCATGCAGGAGGAAACCAACCCATGTGTTTGTCTCACACTGATATTTCTCTCTGTCTTTCCCTCACTCTTCCACTCTCTCTAAAAATCAATGGAAAAATATCCTCAGGTGAGGAATGAATAAATGAATAAATGAATGAATGAATAAATAAGTAAATAAATAAAGACTACAATTTCTTTGTCCCTCACACTTTGAATTATAAAAGCTGCCCCCAGTTTTATCAGTTTGTTATCTTTCAACATTATTTATATCACAGGAAAACAAAAGTAGATTTTTCAATATTTAACAAAGGGGCCCTTTTATAATCTTTTTAGCATAAACCATAATTAAGAGATAAGTAAAAGATGGCAAGACTCTGAAGGTGACTTATAAATGTGTTTTCTAACTGTCATAGACCTGGTGTATTCCGACTATTTCTGTTAGAATGAACAACAAATATCTATTGTTCATTGAGCTCTTACTATAAAAAAAAAAAAAAAACACCTTAATAGGTAATATTTCTTTTAATTCCTATAATAATTTTACATGGAAGGTACTTTATTTTCCCTATTTGCCAGCAAAGATCCTGAAGCACACAGGTATTAGCAAATGTGTGCAGCATCAACACCCTTACTTAACTCCGGGCAGCTAGTGTGTGCACTACCCTGCTATGGTAGATGCCACTTAAGGCCACAACACACAGTGTGAGAAGCTTCCTTTTATAAATCATTCCTTGGCTTAGGACTACATTATCTCTCATTGATATTACTTCAATTCTTTTTTTTTTACCCCAGTATTTCATGCTCTCCATTACCCTTATCTCAGCAAGAATAGCCTTTTAGAACAAATCTGATTGGTCAGAGGCTTAAATATGACTAATTGAGTCACCATTATCCTCCAGATAAATTTTAAATTTACAGGCATTCTCTGTCATCCCCTTACATCCTCTCCTGTTTTGTTTATAATCCTTGTCCAAACAGGCTCATCTCTCAACCAGAACTACCTACCTATCTCCTACCCTCTTTCAGGACATTTCCTCTAATTAAAACACATTCCCTGCCATCTCTCATTGGTTCTGCCATTTCTCCTTGATTCTACTTCTGCCTTCCTGGGTACTTTTCATTTATCTTCAGTGCACATGTCAGAAATCCTCTACAATAAGGCATCTAAATCCACTTGAGTCACCATCCATCCCTATAAAACACTTAGAATGTCTTATTGTAAATCTTTACTTATCTGCTTCAGTTATAAGAGTCTGACCTATTCAAGGCAGAGACCATGGCTTCCATCTGCACACACCTAAGTCTAGTAGATGGTATGTACTCAATCACTGGTTTGAGAAAAGGAAAAGAAAACATTACATGAGCAGGAGAAAATGTACTATGAATATATAGTTCCAATAATTAAATCTCCTTTCTATTTTAAACTTTGTTTAATCCACTCTGCCAAAAAATCTTTAAGAAAAATCAAACTCATTGGCACGAAAGCAAAAATTAAGACCTTACTCCACTGTCAAATAATGAGCTGGTTTTGTAGTTTTGGAGAACAGACAGATGGCCAAAGTCTCCCTCCCATACCCTAATATCCTCCCCAACCAAACCCAATTTCCAGTGGTTCTAATTTAAAAATATGGCCAGTACTGTTACTTTTGGCATACTTATTTGGAAATCTTAAAGAGAAACAAATAAAATAATGTCCATGGGGTTATATGAGCTTAAAGTGTATCTATAGTTCAGTTGTGTTATTTTAAAGTTAATAGTATACTAATATATCTGAGCAATGGCATCTAAACAAAAGAAAAAAATAGAACAAAACTCTTCTGTTTTCCTAAAAGTTTCAAAAATCTTTAATGGAATGCTATGTGTAGTTATAGTTGCTCTATTGTAAGGGGATATGTAAAAAAAAAATTTAAATATATTTTATTGATTTCAGAGAGGAAGAGAGAGGGAGAGAGATAGAAACATCAATAATGAGAGGGAATCGTCAATCAGCTGATGACCAGCTCCTGTTCACTCTCCACACTGTGGATTGAGCCTGCAACTGGACATGTTCCCTGACCAGGAATCAAACTGTGACCTCCTGGTTCATAGTTCGATGCTCAACCACTGAACCACACCAGCCAGGTAGATAAGTCAAAATGTTAATGGTGGTTAAAAATGTATCTGAGGTAGAAGTAAGATTGTTTCTTACAAAGAAACCCTCAGTGATTAACTTTCATTCAAGTATTTCCAGATTTATTTTATAGATAATGCTAAATCTCTTTTCTCAACTCCCAGAAGGCAGATTAAGCTATTTTTCTTTCTGTTTTGCAAAAAATTGGATTGGTCCTAAAAGGAAGGCAAGCCTACTGTACATAATTCCTGGCAAGAAGAGAAAATTACCAGAAACCGCCCCCCTTACTTATGCCTTTATTCCAACCTTTTAAAAAATGCAACAAAATGTTGATTATTAAAATAATGCTTCTTCCAAGAAACTCAATTAACTGCAAACTATTAAGTTGATCAGGAGAGTTTAAAGCAAGACAAACCAAAGTTCCATGTATATAATATTTAGAAAGAATGGAAAATACACAGTATCATCGTTCCAAACATGAAAGAAAGATAACTAATTTTTTTTTAATGTCCTACCATGATTTGTGTTTGCTGGGTGATCAGCCTCAGGAAGATGGTTCTCTCCACCAGTAAATCCTTTCACAAATTCCCAGTGTGAATTTTCTGTGAGAAATGGCTCCCAGCCGCAGAAACCAGACTCAAAGTCACACATGAGATGATTGGCTGTTATGCATGGAACAGAAAATAGGTAAGGAGAAATGAAGTTGGAGCATACAAGGAAACGTTGACCTATACTAGCCAATCAACTTAGGAGGTGAGAATAATCATTCTACTTTGTAAAGAATGTTTTCTGCTTATCAGGATAGTTTTACTTTCCAATTTCACAAGGATTCCCATGTGCTGTGTGAGGCATCCCCTGTCTATATTCTTCTAGCTACAAGTCTGGCAGCTTAGATCCTGGTTGGCCATCTCCATTATATTTAACTAGAGGCCCAGTGCATGAATCTGTGCACCAGTGAGGTCCCTCAGCCTGCCTTGTGGGATCGGGCTGGAACCGGCTCTCTGACATCCCCCAAGGGGTCCCAGATTGCAAGAGGGCGCAGGCCAGACCAAGGGACTCCACTGGTGCATGATGGGGGCTGGGGGGGGGGGGGGGGGGACATGGGAGGTTGGCTCCAAAGCATGTTTGGCCCGTCTAGCTCAATCCCGATAAGCCAGAACCCAGCAGCAAGCTCACCAGTAGGAGCATCTTCCCCCTGGTAGTCAATGCACGTCATAGCAACTGGTTGACCAGTTGACTGTCTGCCCCCTGGTGGTCAGTGCACATAATAGAGCTGTGGAGCGGCCTTAGCATATCATTAGCATACTAGAGGCCTGCTGCACAAAAAGATTCATGAAATAGGCCTTCCCTCCCCCTGGCTGCCGGCACCGGTTTTCCTCTGGCACCCAGGACCCAGGCCTTCGCTCCAGCCGGAGCCGCCTTCAAGCCTTCACTGCTCCGGCCAGAGCTGCCTTCAGTCTTCACTCCGCCGCTTCACGCCTATGTATGCAAACTAATCGTCATCTTTGTTGATGGTTAATTTGCATATCTCGCTGATTAGCCAATGGGAGGCATAGCGAAGGTATGGTAAATTACCATGTTTGTCTATTATTAGATAGGACTAGAGGCCCGGTGCACAAAAATGTGTGCAATCGGGGGGGAGAGGGGGGTTCCTCAGGCAAGCCTGTGCCCTCTCGCAGTCTGGGACCCCTCGGGAGATAACGACCTGCTGGCTTAGGCCTGCTCCCGGGTGGCAGAGGGCACGCACAATCCCTAGGTGCAGCCCCTGGTCGGGCTCAGAGCAGGGCCGATTGGGGAGTTGGGGCGCTGCCCCCTGTCATGCACAGAGCAGGGCGGATTGGGAGATTGCGATGCCACCCTCAGTCACGCTCAGGGTAGGGCCGATTGGAGGGTTGGGGCACCACCCCCTGTCACACTCAAGGCAGGGTCGATGGGGAAGTTGCGGCACCACCCCCTGTCACGCACAGAGCAGGGCCAATCAGGGGGTTGGGGAGCTGCCCCCTGTCACGCACAGAGCACGGCCCATCAGGGGGTTGGGGAGCTCCCCCCTGTCACGCACAGAGCACGGCCCATCAGGGGGTTGGGGAGCTCCCCCCTGTCACGCACAGAGCAGGGCCCATTAGGGGGGTTGGGGCTCCGTACCGTCACGCACAGAGCAGGGCCCATCAGGGGGTTGGGGAGCTCCCCCGTCATGCACAGAGCAGGGCCAATCAGGGGATTGGGGCGCTGCCCCCTGTCACGCACAGAGCAGGGCCCATCAGGGGGTGGGGGAGCTCCACCCTGTCACGCACAGAGCAGGGCCCATCAGGGGGTTGAGGAGCTCCCCCCTGTCACTCACAGAGTAGGGCCGATAGGGGAGTTGGGGCACTGCCCCCTGTCACACACAGAGAAGGGCCGATCAGGGGGTTGGGGCACTGCCACTGTCACACTCAGGGCAGGGCCAATAGGGAGGTTATGGCTCTACCCCATCACACACAGAGCAGGGCCCGTGGGGGGAGGGGGGGTTGGGGGCGCCGCACCCTGTCACACACAGAGCAGGGCCGATCAGGGGGTTGGGGAGCTCCCCCCTATCAGGCACAGAGCAGGGATGATCAGGGGGTTGGGGCACCTTCCCCTGTCACGAACAGAGCAGGGCGGATAGGGAGGTTGTGGCCCCGCCCCCTGTCACACACAGAGTCACAGGGCGATCAGGGGGTTTGGGCGCTGGCCCCTGTCACTCTGATCCCGGTGCCGGGAGGCCTCGCGGCTCTGCTGATCCTGGTGCTGGGAGGCATATTACTCTTTTAATATATAGGATAGAGGCCTGGTGCATGGGTGGGGGCTGGCTGGTTTGCCCTGAAGGGTGTCCTGGATCAGGGTGGGGGTCCCCACTGGGGTGCCTAGCCAGCCTGGATGAGGGGATGATGGCTCTTTGCAGCTGGTCACACACCCTTCAGGGTCGGGGTCCCCACTGGGGTGCCTGGCCAGTCTGGGTGAGGGGCTGAGGGCTGTTTTCAGGCTGGCCGGTGACTGAAGCTCCCAACCGCTCCTTTTTTTCTTTTTTTTTCTTTTTTATTCTGGGCCAGCTTTAGCTCTGAGGCTTGGTTCCAGCTCTGAGGCCTCGGTTGCTGAAAGCAGGTATCTGGTTTGTTTGGGTTCTATAATCGAAACACTGTTTCAACTCCAGCTCTGAGATCCCGGCCGGCTGAAAGCTGGTTTCTGGGGTTTTGTTTAGCTTCTATATTTGTTACAATGTTTCAAACTGCAAGCTCAGGGGCCGGCAAGGCAGGCGGGGAATGTTGGAGTCCTCTGTCACTGAAGCAAGCAAGCCTCATGTTCGCTTCCAGCTGCCTGGCTGCCGGCCGCCATCTTGGCTGGCAGTTAATTTGCATATCGCCCTGATTAGCCAATGGGAAGGGTAGCGGTTGTAAGCTAATTACCATGTTTCTCTTTTATTAGATAGGATTACACTTTGATTGGTTGACTGGACAACTGGACACTTAGCATATTAGGCTTTTATTATATAGGATGATGCAAGGTGAAACTCTACAGATTTTCAGGAAGTAACTAATTCACCTGCCAAGATGAACAAGATTCACCTGCTGAGATGGTAGTAAAAAATATCCACTGAAAAAGTTGAAATTTAAATTAATTCTGGGCACCTAAAGAACTTGAGTTCAGGACCTTAGTATTTTTTCTACATTCTATTTTAACAGTTTCACAAAAACAAAAAACAAAAGCTAACCAATTTGGAATTGCAGGTAAATTAGATATTCCAAACTCTGTTGTTTTTCCCTCTTAGTACACAACTAAAAGTTCAAAAATACTTTTAAGTTCCTTTATTTATCACAAAAAAACTAGTGCTAGAGAAAGTCAGGATTTGGGATAAGCTTCATAAGCATTTTTCCTACTTTTGTCAATATATTACTAAGAAAAAAATTAGGTTTCAGAGGGCTGGGCGGTAAACTAGAAATTCAAACAAGTTGATTTGTGCTTTTGAAAAATTAGTTATGTGTTTATTTCCTAAAATAAGAATCTTAGCAGATTGGAGAATAAATTAATACAATTAATTTTAAAATATTTTCATATATTTCTCTTTATACAGATGCATTTTTTATAATAGCAGAAGGGAGAACAAAATAAATTTTGGTCAGAAAACATCTATTTTTCACAAGCTCCCTATGATCATAATACTATATTGTTTTAATAACAGTAACAACAGACATGTTACCACTGACATCCAAGTATGTGCCAGGTATTTTGCATATATTATTATCTTCACAAATACCCTACACAGTAAGTGTAATTATTCCCCCCAAAAGAAAAATGGAACTTTAGCAGTAAGCCTCTTGCCTATGGTTTTAGTAAATGGAATATCCACACATTGAACTATCTGATGTCAAAGCTTATACTTTGAAACCTCCCTAAACCAGACATTCTGTCTCTTTATTAAAAATACTTCATTATTATATGTGTGGCTCATCTACATTATTTTCAATTTTAAATAATATGATCATTTGACAAGTATTTTGAATAAACTCACTATATCTTAATCAAAGGATTTTCAAGTTTCTATAAATAGGAATGCCTGGTTTCATGACCAGATATTTCATCACTAACATGTCAACTCTAAAACACTAAAGTGCACTTTGTAAATAATGCCACTGCATTATCTCTACAAGTAAATCAAATGTTTAGACCTCAGAGCTATTCTTGTTTAAATAATCACATAATGGATACATAATGTAAGATATTTTTTCTTTGCAAGCAAATATTATTTTCTCCCTCAAGTGGATTCCCCCCCCCAAAAAAAATAAAAACAAGTGAATTAACTATAGTATAATAATGAAAAATGGGGCACATTACTTAATGTTGAATCAATATGACAAAGAAATGCCATTTACCCATATATCTAAGTGGAAATCTATTGTTTCTAGATATGTTTTTATTTTCTCATCTCAGGCTACAAGAGTTTATAGAATACTGTTGATAAAAACTTACTCCTCAAAGGAGAGTCTCTTCTGGTGTCTTTACATAATCCTAAGCACCTATGACCTAGCTGTGACTGTCTCCCTGGACATCCAGAAAATCCTCTGGTCTATTTCCTTGGTCCTCTATGAACTGTGCCACCTATAGGCCACCTCCAAGTTCATCTAAGTCAATTGGTGGGATGCAGAAATATGCAAAATTCAAAATATATACTTGACCTCTTAAATGTGCTTACGAGTTTCAAATTCTTGGCTATGAACTTGGTCAGAAATCTTCCCATCTCCCCCTAGTTCATAAGAGACAAATTTCCCTGGCATAGAAAATCTTCATAGATATGGTGACCACACATCTGTGTTGGCCCACAACTGCCTCAGTTTATGCTTGTCATCCTAGTATAATAATTAATACCTCTCATTTTCCTCTCAAATGTCCCTGCTTGGGCAATAAATTCAATATTGCCATATTGGAGAAATAAATTATATACTGATACACAAAGGAAGCAAGTCCATGCGAATAACAAACTTATTGACTGCAGATAGCCACTGTAGTAACCTATTATGCTAGTAACCACTCTATTCCCCAACTAGGTAATGGTGTGAAATGGCGATAAGATCAATAAGTGTGGAAATGGAAAATACAACATGACCCAAGCATCACCAAACCCTTAGACAGACTCTTCACAACTGTGCCTGTGTCATTCGACTGCAAAGATGTAAAGGAGATTTCAAGACACAGTAACTTTGGGTTGTATAAATATTGACATTTGGCTTTAGGAGAAAAAGTTCAAACCATTTCTTTCATTACTTGGATGGTACACATTACTTAATGGTGAATCAATATGGAAAGGAAATGTCATTTAACCAAATACCTAAGTGAAAATCTATTTCTGAATATGTTTTTTTTTTCTCATCTCAGGCTACAAGAGTTTATAGGATACCAATATTGATAAAAACGTATTCCTCAAAGGAGAGTCTCTTCTTTTTTTTTAAATATAATCTTAAGCACCTATGACCTAGCTTTATAAGGTAAAATGCCAATTATTGCACTTTCTATGGAACACTAAACACCACTGTCCTTTGAAAAATGAAAATTGATTTTTTAAAATGCATCACCATACATATTTAAAAGCAAAATGGTACAATCACCTCTGTAAAAATCATGGTGAATTGTTCAGTTATTTTAACCCCTGGCATTTGTTCCAGTATACTAGAAAAGGCTTTTTTTTAAAGCTAATATTCTGGAATTTAACTGCACTATCTATATATATAAAAGCCAAGTGACTGGAATGGTGGAATGACCCGGAACGACTAGTCGCTATGAGGTGCACTATGGCAGCCCAACCGGCCAATGTGGGCCCCGATCGGCCCCCCCACAACAGCCTAACGGTCCCTCCCCCCAGCCAGCCCCATCCCCGATTGCCCCCCCCCCCCCCCACGACAGAGAGAGGACTGGACAACCTCCCATGGCCCACGGGTGACCCCAACCCCCACACCCCCTATTGAGGGCAGGGCCGGCCGAGAGGACCAAACATTCTGGAAATGAATAAATGTCTTATGATACCTTGTATGTTAAATACTAATTATATATAAAATCTCAAAGATCATCAATTCATATTATAAACAAAATGTATTTATTATAATGAATGACTTTGGTTATTTTGGTTGCTTTTATTTAAGTTTCTGTGATTATAGAAGACACATCACCATCTCTAATCAGAGCATGAGATATGCCACTGTTGGTAATTTCAATGAAATTTCACTGAGTTCATCACTGAGAGTAATATTTTTAATTTATGACACAACTTTCTCTTGCATATTTAACCACTACAGCATATTGGCAAAGAAAAATAATTTCATTGGGACATGTGAGGAAAATTCTTCTGGATCATAAAAATTAAAATATTTATGAACTCTCTAGTTCAGAAGTAAACCAGTTTTCTATCACATAAGAAAAAAGTACATTTGGAAATGAATGGGGAAGGTTCCATTCAATAAGCAGATATTAGATTTGAGTATGATTATATTACAAAAATGTTTGTTAATATTTATTAAGAAACCATAAGAATTTTTTCTCCACTAAACATGTATATATTTTCCTTAGCCATTGGGAAGTATTTTAATATTTAATAATTTTAAAAATATATGAAAGATATCTAGAGATGGTATCATCATAAAAAATAAAGACATTGTACCCAACCGGTTTGGCTCAGTGGATAGAGCGTCTGCCTGCAGACTGAAAGGTCCCAGGTTCGATTCTGGTCAAGGGCATGTACCTTGGTTGCAGGCACATCCCCAGTGGGAGATGTGCAGGAGGCAGCTGATCGATGTTTCTCTCTCATCGATGTTTCTAACTCTCTATCCCTCTCCCTTCCTCTCTGTAAAAAATCAATAAAATATATTTTAAAAATAAATAAATACATACATACATACATACATACATACATTGCACTGAATTCTTGGTTTAAGCTTCTTTCATTTGAACATTGTACCAACTTTTCCTTTACGGTGTCAAAATTTACATTAGCATTTTAAAAGCTCTAACAAGTTCTACAAGTAAAGTAATTTTTTCACACATTATTTTCTCCTGGTTTTACTTAAACACAGATCTATGTATTCTACCATCCTTTTTGGTGCACACACACAGTATTTTTTATATACATATTTTGTGGAAGGAAATGCCAGTTGTTTAATTAATAAAACCTCAATACAGGAAAAGAAATGGGAAAAACATATCCAAAATCAAATGCTAAAATAAAAGTAAATAAATAAAAAAACCATTTGTTTGAGATATAAGAATTGTATTCATTTAGTTGGAATTCATCATTTCTAAAGAGACACACAGTATCTTAGTTGCTAAGTTACATCATATGAGAATCATCATGTGGTTAAATTATATATTTTTAAAAATATGACTAGGCTTGAATAGATACAGTGGGGCCTTGACTTACGAGTGTCCCGACTAAGACTAACGAGTTTTTTGAGATACCAGCTGTCTCTCGGCCGATTTTTTGCATTGAGTTGACAGAGTAATTTGAGTGAACGAGCTCCTTAACGAGCTCCTTAACGAGCTCGGTCTCGGAACGAATTAAACTCTTAAGTCAAGGCCCCACTGTATAGGTTTCTTGTCATCACTCCTATCAAATACGCTCCATAAAAGGCCTGAAAGAAAGGTGTTGGGCTTTTTTTCCTACATAATTGGTCAGAATGGGAAAAGTCCTACATTTATAAAGGTTAGCAATATATAATCTATATCTCCAAGGGGAAAACTAGAAAGAGGTTCCCTCTCCTACCCATTTCTCTCTTTAAGGTAAACACATACACACACACACACACACACACACACACACACACACACACCACTAATGACAACTATTCATTTGTTGAACAGGGAGGTTTTGCAGTGCTAGCAATAACCACCAATTCACAGCAGAGAATTAGTAATTGCTATAGAGTCAGCTCTTTCATTAGTGCTAGCATAGAGACCCCTGCAAGGAACAGTGCTAATAGCTTCAGAATGAGAATATACATTCATCTTATTTCATATTAGCTTTACCTTGCTTGAAACAAAGTCTAGTGTTTTAACTCCAACCACAGTCATGATTTGGAGCATGTTCATGAGTAAACTATTGATTCACTTACAGCAATTCACCGGGTCTTCATCAGTCTTATCAGAACAGTCCTGCCGAGAGTCACAGACTGATTCCTGGGCAATGCACTGACCACTGGCACAAGTGAATTCACCTGCAGAGCAAGACTTTATGGACGGGGCCTGTGCACACACGTAGACCCAGAGCTGATCCAGCCCAATAAAACTTCTCTGGCTTAAAAGAGCCCCTTCGAATATAATCTTTAGTGGGGAAAAAAAAAAAGAAAAAAAATTGAGTTCATAATCTCTTAAAAAGACTAATTATAATAATAATAGAGATTAAATTATTAAGAAAACATTTGTTTAAAGAGCAGGCAAATACAACTGATAACAAAGTTCTTATTTGAGCTTAACCCACACACGTAAGATTAATGGGCACATTAGATCCACTGAAGCCTCTGAGAAACCACCCATGCCCATGATCAGGTGAAGTATAGCATCCCACTTAAACCTCAACGATATCCCTGACTGCAAACTATTTACTTGGTCTCATCTTTGTAGCTGTCTCTCTTTAATATTTAAGGAAAAGACTAAGAATTGTCACTATGCACACAGCAATAGCTATGCATATTTTTTACCTACTGAAAGTAGTATTGGAATGAAGAGAAATGTCATGCAAATGGTAAGGGATGCATCAGAAGAATAGAAAATTTAAAAAATATAAAAATATATTAATTTTTATCAAAAAAGAATATCTTTAATAATCAAAGCTTAAATTAAAGGAAATAAATCTCATTTTCTTCAATCAAATCACTAGCTTTTCTGAAGGTATACAATACTAGCTAGTGAAACAACCATATGTTCCTAGTCCAATGTAAGATAATATCAAAATACTTCTGTAGGAACTGATTCTTTAAATTGATTTGAGAGAGAGAAAAAGAGGCGGGGGAGAGAGAGAGATCCACGTGAGAGAGAAACATCCATCAGTTGTCTCCCACACACACCCCAACCAGGGATTGAACCTGCAACCTAGACATGTGCTCTGCCTGGGAATTGAACCCACCACCTTTCTGGTGTACAGGACAATGCTCCAACCGAGCCACACTCGCCAAAGCAATGTCAAAGTATTAATCTTCCTTCAGATTCTACCAAGAGCAATAGTGAACACCAAGAGGAAAAGACAGACAGAAAGAGCTGACTGGATAGCAAATACTAATTCTCTACTGTCCAATATGATAGCCCATAGCTACTTTGGGATATTTCAATTTAAATTAATTAAAATTCAGCCCCTCTGTGGCACTAGCCACATTTTAAGTGTTTAATTAGTCACATGCAGTTTGTGGCTACCATGTTGGGAAGCACAGATATAGAAAATTTCCATTACCACAGAAAGTTCAATTGAACAGTGGTGAACTAGAAGTTGTTAACATGTAAATAAGATACTAGAAATAAAAGCCAACTTCTTTTATCTCTTCCAGCTTAAAGTTTCTGAATAAGTTTTCTGCTTTGCAAAAACATGAACAACCAATTTATTGTTTGTTAAGAATTACTTAAGATCAAGTTCAGTTTGCAAATATACTTAATGATTTAGTCTAGAAAATAATATTGAATTTAAATATCTAACATTAAGAAAACTTTGTAATCTTCTATACACTTTCCCATGAGTATCACAGTAAAAATGTATAAAATTATTGGATCTAAAGCTGTATATTTTCATAACAGCAAGCAATCAGACATGTAGAAATATCAGTTTGAGTTCTAATATTGAAAAATTTAAACTTGTCTCAAAATTTAAACTTAAGTCCCCAAAATCTGCCACTATTAAAATCTACTTACATTTAATATGCACTTGGAAACCTAGAATAACTTCTAAATTATTTTCTTTATATTTTACTTTGTTTTATCTTGGGGTTAATTAACAAAATTTTAACATTCAGTCTACATAAAAAAGATGAAACTCCAAACATTTAGTACTCATTTCTTATAAAGTCTTATAAAGATAGGTGTCAGCTTAGAAAAGTTTAAATAGTGTCAAAATGTTAACTCAGTAGGCTATGTTATAAGCCTCAACTTTACTGAGATTGCTACAAAAATGCTATGGTTCAGAAATCCCAACCTCAGAAGTAAACAGGATTCGAAAAATCTCATGATTACAGATTAGTGTCATTTGGGTTCTCCCTTTTAACACCTAGAGGCATGTATGAATATGGCATTAGCATAAGGAATTAAATTGCTTTCAGAAGCTATACATATACTTATATTCCAATATAAATATATACTTTAATGCAATACATTTATTTTATGTTGCATTAAAGTATATATTTATATTAAATTACTGCACTTCAAAAATAAAATTCTAAATAGCAATTAATATCAGATATTAAAATGTTATCCCACTAACTTACTCTATTTTGTGATATTGCTATAATATTAGAAAAGAAAGAAATGACAGGCAAACATTTAATATGAAAGTTTAAGAAAATGTTGTCACGTAATTATTTCAGCACAATTTCAACAAAAGACCAAGTAAGTTTTCTAGAGACAACTTTCACTCTGGGTCCTCCACTAAGGAGAAGTTTAGCCTGAGAAGGTCTAGGCAGAATGAAAAGAAGTAGGTAATCACTTTCCCCAAACATATAAGTCTACATCTTTAATGTAAATGCTAATTTAAATTTAGCAATGGGTGATAAATTCACCACTACACAGCTAATAATGAAACATGATAAAAAAAATCCTTGCTCTTCCCTTTTATACCTTAAATGTCTTCAGTCCTTCTGGTATTAACACATCTGTTTTCACCCATTTTTTGTGAGTTGATGTATTGTATGTCCAAAATATTTCTTCTTCCTTTGATTAGAATAAAAAGACATTACTCATTCCCCACATTCCACTCTCATACTTACATACGTACTCTCTTAATTACATTTTAATAGAGTTTACCCTACCTGTATGATATTAAGTGCTAAGAAATCTAAAGCATTGGTGAAAGGGGTGTATAACATTTTTTAAAGGAAACAAAGGAAATGGGGGAACACGAATAGGTGGAGTACCAAGGATGTTTAGGGCAGTGAAAATAGTCTGTATGATAATATAATGATGCATATGCCATTATCATTTGTCCAAACCTACAGAATGTATAACATGCTATATTATACATCTGTATAATGATCATTTCCCAGGTTGCAAAGTGTATGCAGAATTATGTTACTACTAAAGGCTCAGTGCACGAAATTGGTGCACGGGTAGGGTCCCTAGGCCTGGCCGGTGATCAGGGCTGATCTGCAGGGTGACCAGTGAGGCAATTGGGGGGGTCCCCATTGGCATCCTCCTTGGCCGGCCTGGAGCCACCCACTCGCCAGCCCTGCCCCCCACCACTGCCGCCGGTCACCTCCCTCTAAGGAGCGACCGGTGGGGCCATCAGGGGGCCCTCCACTGGCACCCACCTTGGCTGACCTGGGGCCTGTGGGCTGGGGGCAGCTCCTGCATTGAGCATCTGCCCCCTGGTGGTCAGTGCACGTCATAGCGGTGGGTTGTTCTACCCTTCAGTTGATTTGCATATTAGGCTTTTATTATATAGGATGCATTATGAGGTAACATGCTCAATAAAAGTCTCTAATGTACTCCAAAATTTTGCCTCTGGTATTGGGCTTTATAATTGGTGACTATGTCCATATGCTCTGAAATAATCCTATTTTTCTTTGGATTTTATCAAACAGTCAAATTAATTTGACATTTACCTGGTAATGTTCAGAATATTTACCTATAGGGTGCATTAATTTTTCATATATCAACACAGTGGAAATGCAAAAAGTGGCACAATTATGTCTTAGGCTGAGCTTTGAGATGCCTCTGTGCCCTCCTTTTACTGTGAGATAGGCAATGGCACTGGAAGGTGACATCTAGTTGTAATGACACATGACACTCACACCTTTTCACACTCTTGCAAGCATTTATCTCCATAGTTGGCTTCACTTATTTGGTTCATATCCAAGATTTTCTAGAAAATGAATCTATTTTCAACTTAGTCCTTTACCCTCTGATTTCTACTCCTATTTTCAAGTCTTAAATATTTCAGAAGATAGCCTAAACCTACTAAAATGTACTTCACTTCATGACTTATTTATATCAACTCTTAAGACTTATTTATATCAACTCTTAACACAGACAGTGAAACATACATGCTAGACATGCTTTCATGGTCACATCAGGGTGAACTGGAGTTATAAAAAGGTGAGACACACAAGAATTTTTTTGCTAATTATATCCTATGCGACTTCAGTTATTCTGCATCAAGACACTCGTCCTCCACAGATGCTTTTAGTGACACTGCTTGGCAAGCTGTATTCATCACTTCCCCTCACTTTCATTTTATGAGAATAACTGAGAGCAACTGTGCTCTTTTTTCACAATGACTAATTGATTCCCCTCTGTTCTACTAGAAGAAGAGTGCATTTACATTTTTTTAAAAAAATGAGCAGAGTTCTTTCTATATCGTAAATGGAATTTCATACACAAAGTTAATTGTATATTGTGTATGAAATCCAGATTTTTCTACCACATTTTCCTGTCTCATGCTACAATGAAAAAGAAAAATAATTAACCCCAACTAAACAAAATCAGCTTTTATTTTATTTCTGTCCTCACAGACTCTTATCTAGTTACTTTCAACAGATGTCAATGTGAAAGAGACTCCCAGTTCAGAAAAGCCTTTCAAGTGATATTCTAATTTTTTATTATCTTAATCAATAAATAAAAATTTTAAAAATGTCTTTACTGCCCCAGACCAGCATCAATAATGCCATTTTACCCTTTAAGAAAAATATTTATTACTACATATTTTAGAGATATCTGCCTATCCTTCCCTCTTCCAGTCAAGAAAATAAAAGGAACCAATTTCAAGTGTTTATTTGATTTTATTTGTAACTACTTTTTATTGTGTGCAGGATAGGATCATGTACTATAAAGACCTTCCTTCAAGGAAAGTTTATTATGGCTTGAAAAACTGTATCATTCAAGAAAAGATATTTCTAAGGCACTGTCTTTCCTGCCCCAACTGTTTTCTTCCTGTTTGCCAGTGGGAATTTAGAAAATATGTAGAAGCAGCACAAGTTGGGCACTGCCCTTGGCTCACTGACAAGGATACTCTCCTCAGGATAAAAGATAGGCTGTTGCTATGGTTATTGCCTTACTAGATGATGAACAGAGACCTATTTGTTTGTTTTGTAAACTTTCCCCCATGTATCTGGAAAGTTTTGAGAACTACAGAAACAGCAGGGAGATATTTTTGCAAATTGAATGAAATATACCAAATAGATTCCAGGGCATTAGGCTGCCAAATACTACTGCAAAATACATACTATTACAAAAATATAACCTAGTTACAGAATGCTAGACATTGTGTCTCATTCCCGTAACAAAGGAAAATGTGTTAGGCCATCTAATGAGAGTATTCATCCAACTTTATGTTTTAGAACTCTGTGAATATCTTGGAAAAGAAAACTAGAAGAAAGAAGACATGATGAAAATGACACAAAAGGGAAAGGTGGAAGTGATATAATAGAAGTAGGAAGAAAAAGACTTCATCTTGAATTTTCAAATATCTTGCTAATAAGCATTCTGAAATTTGAGGGTGAAAGAGAAGAAAATGCTATTGACAGATGGTTATTGGCACTTAATAAGTGCAGATGATAAATAAATATTTGTTAAAAAAATGAATCTAGCTGAAGTCATGCGCAAGTTTCACCTGGATTTACCCAAAGTATCCTGAGCCAAAGGAAACAAATTTGGATGCTTTTACTGTCTTTTTCCAAAACCAGAATTATTGCAATTATTGTCAAATATTCCCCATTTCTAGAATGATTGCTGTTTACCCCTATGATTTATTTACTTCTATTTATAAGTAAATTTTTCCTCACAATTGAAATTCTCAGTGTCTCAGGTATTTTCCCACATGTAGAGAATTGTTTTTAGTTATAGTTAGGTTGAAAAAAAAAAAGGCTTAGGCTAGCATTACCACCACAACTTTTACTCTGCCCATTGTGCCATTTCTTTCATTCAAATGACTCATTTGTCTGTATTTAATTAGTAATTGCCAGCCTTTAAAATTTATCTACTGGTACAAGAACGAGTAATTTGCTTCCATCATATTTAGAACTTTAGTGGTATACAGATCTAAAATCCAAAACAGATCATATTAGAGCTTCAATAGAGAGGCAACAAGATTCCCAAATAGCTCATTTTATTAGACCTATAGTTTCTTTAATATATTTTTATTAATGTTAACAGTTTTATGATATACTAGAGGCCTGGTCACGAATTCATGCACAGGTAGGGTCCAGCCAGCCCACCCCAATCGGGGCCGATCAGATGGTGCTGGCCCGGGGAACATGGGAGATGGGTGGGCCAGCCATGCCCCCAATTGAGGGGGCTGATCAGGGGCGGGACCGGCTGGGGGGGAGGGGCTGCAAACTCCCGGTCAAGGGGACAATTTACATATTAGCCTTTTATTATATAGGATTATCACATTGCTTTTGCAAATTATCACATTGGCTTTTGCATATGGCAGTATTTCCTAAACCAGCTTCTTAATATTTGTTTTTAAATGTATACTAAATAAAATCAAGCTAAAGAATACCTAAAGCCTACATAACTGAAAATTGAAACAGAAGTTGCCAAGATTAGAAATTTCATTTACTCAATGGTTTTGAAATAAATGCAAGTTTCTTCTTACCTTATTGTTATAGAGACTTACTCTCAGAACACTGTTTTCCATAGCATAATAGAATTGCAAATGGCAGCTCTTGCCCAAGCAGTGAAACACAGAGCTGTTCAGATAAGCCCTGCTGTCTAAATGGTCAAGAATAGAAGCATGGTTAACCCCTACCCACATATAGTAACCTGAAAAATAAAGGAAAAGGAAGCAATTTAGAAACAAATTAGGTACTTTCTGTTTAAACAAAATTATTGTACTTTTAGAGTTTTCAAAATCAGACTTGAATCACAAATATTTTATCCAAAATATGATGGTATGAAATGATTCCATCAACTACAAATGACAGGTTTCCGTTTCCACATGTACTTCCTAAAATGCATTGAAATCTGCTCCAAATGTCTGAAATAAAAGTTTGATCATGCACCCCAAATGAAAATTCAATAGTCTTATAAAAATCCGTGCCACCAAATGTTCATTTTCTTTTAAATATCACAATGTAATTTTCCTTTAATCAAGAATTCTTCAGTTTTCTTTCCAAAATTCTTTTCCCTTTTGATTATTTTTCCTACTTTTTACAGAGAAACCTTTATAATTCGACAGAATATATTTATATATATATTGAAGTCTTTTATATTTTTTTAGAAAACCATTTCAGAATCAGACGTGTATTAGTAAGAATTCTCCAGGGAAACAGAGTCAATAGAAAAAGAACTATAAATATATTAATTATGGAATTGGCTCACAGAGTTAGGGAGGCTGAGAAATCCCACAGTCTGCTATCTGCAAGCTGGAGAACCTCTGTTGGTACAATTCAATCTGAGTCTGAAGGCCTGAGGACCAGGGATGCAATGGTGTAAATCTTAAGAGTTTGAAGGCCCAGAACCAGGAGCTTAGATGTCAGACATTTTTCTCTCTCAGAATCGTACCTTCTATTTGCACTTCATCTCATGATCTGTGTTAATCTGAGTAATTGTGATGGCAACACATGCCATGTGTTACTGGAATCCCACTTTCTCTTGACAAGGATGTTGCTGTGCACTTCTCAAATCCCACCAATTCTATTTTTCACTTTGTTCTTATTGTTGACACTGTTACAGATGTTCCCATTTCTACCTCGTGCCCCCTGCTTTGCCCATCTCCACCCAGCCCCTGCTCACCCTTCCCTCTGGCCATTACCACACTATTGTCTGTGTCTATGGGTTATGCATACATGTTCCATGGCTAATCCCTTCACCTTCTTTCATCTAGTCTCCACTTCAATCCCCCCTGACAGCTGTCAGTCTGTTCCATGTATCCATGCCTCTGGTTCTACTTTGTTGTTAATCAGTTTCTTTTGTTCATTAGATTCCACATATAAGTGAGTTCATATGGTATTTGTCTTTCTCTGACTGAATTATTTCACTTAAGCATTATATTCTCCAGGTACATCCATGCTGTTGCAAAGGGTAAAATTTCCTTCTTTCTTACGGCTGGGTAGTATTCCATTGTGTAAATGTACCATAGCTTTTTATCCCCTCATCTACTGATAAACAGATCTGTTTCCAGATCTTGGCTATTGTAAATAACACTGTAATGAACATAGGGGTGGAATATTCTTTCTGACTGGTGTTTCAGGACTCTTAGGATATATTCCCAGAAGTGTGACCAGTGAGTCAAAAGGCAGCTCCAATTTTAAATTTTTGAGGAAACTCAATACTGTTTTTCACAGTGGCTACATCAGTCTGCATTCCTACCAGCAGTGTACGAGGGTTCCCTTTTCTCCACATTCTTGCCAGCACTTATTGTTTATTGATTTATTGATGGTAGCCATTCTGGCAGGTGTGAGGTGATATCTCATTGCAGTTTTAATTTACATCTCTTTGATGATTAGTGATATTAAGCATTTTCATATGTCGTTTGGACATTTCTATGTCTTCTTTGGTGAAGTGTCTACTAGCATTCATGTCCTTTGCCCATTTTTAAAAAATACATGTTTATTAATTTCAAAGAGGAAGGGAGAGGGAGAGAGAAATAGAAACATCAATGATGAGAGAGAATCATTGATCAGCTGCCTCCTGCACACCCCACATTGGGGATCCAGCCCTCAATTCGGGCATGTGCCCTGACCAGGAATCAAACCATGACCTCCTAGTTCATAGGTTGAAGATCAACACCAAGCCATGCCAGCTGGGCCCATTTTTTAAATGGATTGTTATTCTTTCTGGTGTTCAGTTGTATAACTTCTTATATGTTTTGAAAATTAACCCCATATCAGGTGTATCAGTGTAATAATGTTCTACCATTCAAAGGGTTTTCATTTTATTGATGGTTTCCTTGCTGTGCAGAAGCTTTTTAATTTGATGTTGTCCCATTTTTATATTTTCTTCATTGTTTCCCTTGCCCTATGAGATACGTCACCAAAAATATTGCTATGAGAGATGTCTGAGATTTTACTGGCTATAATTTCTTCTAGCATTTTTATGGTTTCATGATTTACATTTAAGTCTTTTGTCCATTCTGATTTTATTCATGTGTATGGTGTAAGTTGGTGGTCTAGTTTCATTTCTTTTGCATGTACCTAATTTTCTCAATACCATATAGTGAAGAGACTGTTTTCACTCCATTGTATGTGCTTGCTGCCTTTGTCAAATATTAATTGCCTATAAAAGGGGAGGGCTGATTTCTGGGCTCTCTGTTCTGTTCCATTGATCTATATGCCTGTTCTTATGCCAGTGCCAGGCTGTTTTGATTACAATGGCCTTGAAGTATAGTTTTATATCACCTATTGTGATACCTTCACTTTGTTCTTCTTTCTTAAGATTGCTGAGGCTATTTGGAATCTTTTTTTTGTGTGACAGAATATAATTCAAATGCCCTCTTTCTTAAGAAACTAGATGGAACCATCAAATATCTATAGTCTTACTAAAGGCACCTGTGAATTTTTTATTACCTAAAAATATTATCAATCAATTTCTTCTCATCTGATTCTTAAAACCAATTTTGATTGTTGTTTAACTCAATAATGTAGACAATACAAAGATATTTCCATAATTCTATAACTTCAATTTTCAAAAATAATCTTTCAAATGCTTGTTTTGTAAGTTAGTAAATATTCCTGCAGCTTCTAAAAACTATGAGTTTAAATTAAATGATACTCCTATTTATTAGAAATGTTAGACTTCAATGAAAATAGCAAAGTTAATACTTTGCCTCGGACCTATACACAAGGAAATGATAAAGAGAAAACACATTTTTATAAAGGCGAAAACAGGTCAAATGCCATCTCAAGAGAAAAGAAAAAAATATGCCAAGTGATGAGCAGGGCTGAAACCACAGAACATGGGCTTTAGGATAAAAAGCAGGCTGTCGTAGCTTGAATTTTGACTAATTTAAATTTTGCAAAAGCTAAAGGAGAAGAGTCAAATTCTCTTAACAAAAGCAAAGGCTAGGGCAGGGAACCTGCTCATAAACTGAGGTGGGAAATATACCTTCCCTCACTGCCTCGGGCTATAAGAGGCAGGATGTGTAAGACTCCAAGCATTGCCATGAAATATGAAACCATAAACTAGTATTGTTACTCAGGTAAGGTATCAGGGAGCTAAGTAATGCTACAACAAAAGCACTGAACAAGGAGGTAGGTACAAAGAAAAACATCAGGAAAGAATGGAGGAAGGATAGAGAAAAAGCAAATCTACAGTAGATATCAGGAGAAAAGGACTATCACCATGTAGTTAGAAAGGAAATAAACAGACATTCATTTTAAAATTGTATCACCACATAACTTATTATTTAGGGGTGAGGCCAATTTAAAAATGTTTAAAGTTTATAAATACTAAGCAAGTTCATCACCACAAATCTTATGTAAATAAAAAACAAGTAGTAATTTAAAAAGTGAACCTTTCCAAGAAGGAAAAGAAACTGAAAGGGAGAGGATAAAATAATAGAAACAAAAAAATGACTAAAGAAAATGATAAAATATATCCTTGTAACAGTTGAAAACAAATAGCTTCAAACGATATTTACTTAAAAATATTTTTTAAAATATTAAACTATAATTCAAGACCTAAAAAGGGTGGTAGGTGAAGGTGGGAGAAGGTATAGGGGGATGAATGGTGATGGAAAAAAATAAGGAAAAAAAAGGGAGGGTTAAAAATGGTAATTTAAATTATGACAAGTTCATTCTATTCCAGAAAGTGACAAACATATTGAAGCACTTTAGGATTATTAAAGAAATTTAATGTTAAAGATATATGTCAAAGTTTTTAAATAACCATAAAAACATTATATATAAAAGACTAATAACCAAAGATCTTAACAGACACCTAACTAAAGAAGATATACAGATGACAAATATGTATATAAAAATACTCCATATAATATGTCATCAGGGAAATAAAAAGTAAACAATGAGATTCCATTACACACCCACTAAAATAGCCAAAATCCTGAATACTGGCAACACCAAATTCTAGAGAGGATGCAGCGCAACAGAAATATCATTCATTTCTGGTGGGATCACAGACACTTTTGAAAGTAGTTTGACATTTTCTTACAAAACTAACCATATTTTTCCATATAATTCAGCAATTGTGCTCCATGGTATTTACTCAAAGGAGCTGAAAAATGTAGATCCACACAAAAACCTGCACATGGGTGTTTAGAGCAGCTTTATTCATAATTGCTAAAACTTGAAAGCAACCAAGACTTCCTCAGTAGGTGAATGGATAAACTGTGGTTCACCCAGACACTGGAATATTATTCAGCATTAAAAAGACATGAGCTATCGAGCCCATTGAAAGACATGGAGAAAATGAAAATGCATATTACTCAGGAGCCAATCTCAAAAGGCTTTATACTTTATGACTCCAACTATACGATACTCCGGAAAAGGCAAAACTATGGGGACAATAAAATCTACACGGAAATAGATTAGTTTCTGCTGGAATAAAATTTTAAATTATACTTTTTAAAAATAACTAACAATACCCCTACCAAAAAAAATAAAGCAATAAAGAGAAAAGTACACAGAAATAACAAATTAGTGTTAGAATAAGAGGAAGAAACTCATTGAAAATACTGCAGGGATAGGGAGAGCTAACAGAGTTGATAAACCTTTTTTTGTTATTGTTCATGCAAAATTTATTATCTCCTGATGATAAAAAATAATAAAATTTACCATATTAAAATAGTTAATTAACCTAGTGTAATTTTTCCTTTACACTGTTGGAAATTATTGATTTTTCCATTTTCAATATCTATGGCATAATATAGTTTCAATAAAATATACTCAGTATGTTCATCAAGATCCTGATCAAATGTCTGCATACAGTCACAATAAAGTACAGTTCTAAAAATAATATATAAAAGATATTATTTTTTATTCCTACCTTCATCATCACTACTTTGATCCTGCTGAGGTGTAGATTCTAAAGCAGGAACTCTTCTTGCATTTGTGCGCAACCAGGAAATGTGCCCAGCAGGTGCTTCTGATGCCCAGCCACACGTGTCAAATTCAAATCCACAGGGCTGACACACTAAAGAGAGGAGAGAAAGATCCTGGTGGACTCTCACAGCCTATGAGAGTGGTTACTGCCATGGTTGGTGTTACAGTGGGGTTTATACACAAATTCATATCTGGAAATTTTGGTTCAATAAACCTTAGAATGAACCAGCAATTCTATTTTTCAAGTTCTTCAGTTCACTCAGATGGGCATCCCCCAAAATGAGAACCATTGCATTGCCATAAAAAAAATGAAAATTTTCTATCTTTCCTTGGACAAGTGCTTTGGTTTTGATTTTTTAAATAGCATAATATCTTACCTTAGCTAATTTATGGAAATAATTTTATTTATATAATTGACTATTCATAATCACATTGAGATTTTAAAGAATCATTACGTATAAAATTCCAAAACTGTCTTTAGTGGAACTGTTTTACAAAATAATATCACCTTAAATTGACATATTTAATATATTTCACTTGTTGAATAAATCAATCTTCCAATAACATTCCAGCTAAAACTTGGGCATAAATGTCAACAAATACCAAATAACAAGTGAGTATCATATATTCCTATTAGTGATCTGAGTCTCATGAATGGATCACACACCAACAAGCTGGGTACGCCAATTTAACACTTACATCTTAATCCTGCATCTGTAGAGTCAAATCTGCAGAGACTTGTATCAGGATGGCATAGTTCCTGCTTGGTGACCGATGCTTCTTGACACGGTAAAGTTTCATCTGTTAAATTTAAAGAGTGAGATGCAAATGCAACTGGGAGAGTTATTCATTTATTAAGACACTAGAGGCCTGGTGCACAAAATTCATGCACTCGAGGGGGTCCCTCAGCCTGGCCTGCACCCTCTCACAGTCCAGGAGCCCTCAGGGGATGTCCAACTGATGGCTTAGGCCATTTCCCCTCAGGGAGCTGGCCTAAGCCAGTAGTTGGACATCCTTAGCACTGCCACAGAGGCAGGAGAGGCTCCCACCACTGCCACTGCACTCACCAGCCATGAGCCCAGCTTCTGGCTGAGCGGCGCTCCCCCTGTGGGAGTGTGCTGACCACCAGGGGGAGCTCCTGTGTTGAGCATCTGCCCCCTGGTGGTCAGTGCACATCATAGTGACCGGTCATTCCGCCATTCAATCGATTTGCATATTAGGCTTTTATTATAAAGGATCTTGTTCTACAAAGCATTTCCACCCAAATCTTCTTTATGGCAGCATCATCCCTTAGGTGGACCCATTACACAAAGAAAGGATATATAAACCATGCTAATGCTTCTGGGATTTAATCAGATCTCTGTAGTGAATGCTAAAACCAAATCTTTCATCCCCACCAAAGTAACTTGTCTGAACATGAAAACTAACAGCCTATTATTAAAAGGATAAGAGTACATGCATCAGATGTAACGTATAGTGTCTTCTTTAACTGGAAGCAGGATCTGCCCTGGAACTATTTTTCCTGCAGCCCTTTCAAACGGTGCCTCCTTTCCTCCCACAGCCCTCCCAACACAACTCAAAAGTGGATAGGTGTCCTTCCAGTACCAGTAGCCACTTCCAGATAATTCTCACTCCGTTTCCTAAATACCCAGCTTTGAATCTCTGGACATCAAAGGGTTCACTCTCTGTGCCAGCTTGTTGCAGTCATCTACAGACTGTGCACTACAGCTCAATCCTGATGGCATCAGCCCTTGTCTCACTGTCATTCTTTGTCATTTCAATATTCATCTTCATTTCTTCTTTTCTTCTTCATTTCTTGATTTCTTCTTATTGGTGATTGTGAAGGAGAACCCTGATGAAAAACAACCTCTGCCACCAATCCTCGGAGGATTATCATTACTAATAACATTTCCTTAATATTAATTACAAGTGACTCACTCCACAACCTTCATCCCCATTGTTCCGGTTCACTCCCTCTCATATCTCAACTGCAACAATGTTTTGACAGCACCAGGCCCTACCAGCTAATGGTCCTACAATCTTATCAATTCCTTTCATCCTCTCTCATGTTCTCTCTTCCTTTCTTACAGATGTTAGACAGCCAGTCATCCTGGCTCTTCTCATGCTTTCCCATACTCTTGGAGCAAAAACTGAAAAGTACAATTCTCCACATAGTTCAAGTAATGGATAGTTAGCTTTTTGAATGTTGTGTAAGTGCCTAACATTAAGCTGTTGATTGCTGAGGCACCCATTTCAAAGACATCTGCTGGAATAAACACATGGCCAGCTACAAAACTAGATAAAGAACCAGGCAGCCCCAACCTATGAAGTTCCCCTTTTAGAAAGCCTTGGTTGACCTAGATAAGGGACTGTTGGAATGACCCTGCTTTTCCTTTCCCTGCTGTTATTTTTTAAATTTACCAATAAAGAGTGGACCCACAAAACTCTAGGTCCCCCACCCTTGGTTCCAATAAAGGCAGAAACCCTAGCCAGTGCATGCACTCGCTCGCTCTCTCTCTCTCCCACTATGACCTAAATGTATGGCCCCAAATGATCCTCCAGGACCTATGAGTAATGAAGCTTGTTTTGTCAAACTTCCTTGATGGCTGTTGCTAAGGTGCATCTTGCAATCTTAAAAACAACCACCACAAGGGCTGGTCCAGTCACAGCTTTGGCTCCAGGCGGGGAAATGTCTGCAGGGGCTGCCAAAGTAGTAAGGGCCCAGGTCAGTGTCCCATGCACTCCTAGTTGATAGCATCACTATGGATAGGCTTGGATCTACAAAACCCACCACCTCCTCCATTTACATCTGTGCAGCAGAACTTGAGTGAAGAGAGGCCCACAATCATGATGATTAAAATTACATATCCATGACTACTCATTTCATTGCATCATGGCAATGCCATACTACATTTTTCTAAATCTTTCTTTTTCCTTTATTCCTAGAAACTATTCAAAGACCTTTACCCCTCCTTAAATTTCCACCTCCTCTTTCATTTCAGTTAAGCATCCTTCATTCCACCTCATCATTCTCAGCTAATCATCTTGCTTCAAATTTCATAGGAAAAATCCGAAGAAAACCTAGTAAGTGCCGCCACCAATCTACCTACACAGCTGTCCACATGCCTTTCCTCCTGTAATGTGGGTCAATTAGCCATGCTCCACTCTAAGCCCACTCCTTTCATTCATTCATATAGAAAATGCATCTCTTCTTGCCTATCTAAGAAATCATTCCAGCAATTTCCTCTTCTCCTTTACACTAGCATGTCCTCTTGGAAATAGCTTCAGTACACGAAGTGGCCAAAATTTCACCCATCCTAAGGAAACCTACCTACTCTACAACCCCCTCCAGCGAACTTTTCTAAGTTTTTCATATTCTCACTGATTCCACACCCATTTGCCCCCCCCCTCATTTATTCTTGAACCCATTCCAATAAGGTTTTTGTCAAATATCTTTTTATTGAGGTAAGATTCACATAACATTAAATTCATTTTAACCATTTGTAAGTATACAATTCAATGGCTGTTAGTGCATTTACAATGTTCTACCATCATCATCAGTAGCTAATTCCAAAACATTTTCATTATACAAAAAAAAACAACACGCATAACCATGAACAGTCACTCCCCATTCTCTCCTCCCTCATCCCACAAACCTCTAGCAACCAGCAATCTGCTTTCTGTCTATATGGATTTACCCAGTACATTCCATATACTAGTAAATAGAATCATACAATATTGACCTTTTGTGTTTGACTTCAACTTAGCATTTAATGTTTTAAAGGTTCGTTCTTGTTGTAACATGTATCAGAACTTTATTCCTTCTTTTTTTACCCCACTACTCCACAGGAACTGCATATGTAAAGGTTGACCTCTATATTGCTAAATCTAGTATTTAATTTTCCCTCCCCAACATACCTGACGTATAGTAGTATTGGGCCTAGTTGATCACCCTCCTTCTTCCCTAGATGTGCTAATACATAAATTTTCTCCTGGTTTTCCTCTTAAA